TGGTATATATGAAACCCAGAATAGGTTAATCTATAGAGACAGTACTTAGATAAGGATTCCTGGGGAGTACGACAGGAGGTGTGTGTGTGTGTGTGTGTGTGTGTGTGTGTGTGTGTGTGTGGTGGAGCTGATATCAGGAGTTCAAAACTGTTTTTGAAATTGATTGTGGTAGCTATTGTACAACACTGCTTGATAGGCTTGAACTATGGACTAGTAATGATATGGGAAACTGAGGACCTGGAAGAAAGTGTATGTGCCCTGCTCCCAACACTCCTGACTAGAGCCTGGCCCGCCATCCCTTACGTGAGGCTCGCCTCCAAGATTAGCGAGATAAGGGAAAAAGGGCTTCAATACACAAGATTCCATCTGACCCCCATTAATGCGTGGACAAAGCGTGTCCTGCAGATGCCTGACTCCTCACATACAGTTAAAGGAAGTTTATCTCAAAGAACATTTGCTCCCCTTGTTTCTGATCTTAAGGAGCATTTGCTCCTCGTCTCTTGTATGCGTTATACTCCCTTTGACATATTCCCTCTGAATGCTTGGAATACCAAGACTAGTATATTGCCCATTTGTTTAATGTATGATTAATGAGAGGGTTGCATACCTCAAGAGCTATAATAGCCCTTTGTCTTCTCGCTTCTTCCATGAATGGAGTTGAGTCCCCTGTTCTGTCTTAATTGTGCGTATTGCTCCTTGGGCCCATTCAGCTGTGGGGCTGGACCCCACAGTATGATGTCTGGATTATCTCCTAATAAAATGGACTTAGGGGATTAAAGAGTTGGTGTTTTGAACCCACCCAGCAGCTCCTAGAGAGGACCTGGTGGTCTACACACAGACAAATGAAGCACCAAACAATTGGGGGCAGCTCAACTCTTGTCCCTGAGTTGAAAACACGTGAGGACCGCAACTACCTAATCTTCGTCATCTCCTTCTCACATGTAAAATACAGTCATGACTGCATGAAAGAAGGGGACTAACCAAGATGACAAAAAGTTTCTAAGCTGCAGGGAAGAAATGATACGTACATCAAAAGGGGAAAGCTAAACTTTCATATTTCCCTTTAACCCTAATTTGATTTTTTCTGCTGTTACTCTTTAAGTGTACTTTTTATTCATTGGTTGGATTTAATGTTATTTAGTGAACATCCTATGCAAAAATGCTTCACAGTTCATATCTGTAAAAGCTGCCCCCAAAATGATTTAAATGACCCAGCACCACAGAATTCCTAAGAAAGAATGCCTGAGGTCAATAGAAATAATCTTCAGGTTAGGCTCGCTTTGAAAACTTGAAATGTTAATGATGTGTTTAACTTTTTAGGAAATCCATTACAGAAACACCTTAATAAGCAAATACAAAGAAAAATTTTAAAGTAGTTATGAACTCCTAAAGTCTCATCTTAGTATAGCGCATGGCAAAAGACAGAAACCATTAAAAATAAAATTTCCTGAAGATTAAACTTGTTTAAAAACTCATACACTCCCCGCTCCCATTACCATGACTCGAATTTGACCTTGCAAGTCTGGCTAGACCAGAGGATGTACACTGGTACAGATAGGAACGGAAAATACAGGGAATCCAGGACGGATGAGCCCTATAGGACCAGTGGTGTGAGTGGCGAAACAGGGGGAGGGTAGAGGGAGAGTGGGTCGGAAAGAGGGAACCGATTACAAGGAACTATATGTGACCTCCTCCCTGGGGGACGGACAACCGAAAAGTGGGTGAAGGGAGACGCCGGACAGGGCAAGATATGACAAAATAACAATTTATAAACTATCAAGGGCTCATGGGGGAGGGGGGAGCGGGGAGGGAGGGGAAAAATGAGGACCTGATGTCGGGGGTTTAAGTGGAGAGAAAATGTTTTGAGAATGCTGTACAAATGCGCTTTACACAATTGATGTGTGTATGGATTGCGATGACAGTTGTATGAGCCCCTAATCAAATGTTTAAAAAGAAAACCCAACTCCTACACTTTATTTTCAATTCATGAGCTTGGAAGTGCCTGGTCCAGAAGTCAGATAGGAGCCCCCGAGAGCAGCACAGAGTGGAAGGGTTATTGGCACGCAGAGAGACAAGGCGGCTTCACAGGCATACAGGAAGAAGGAAGCTACACTGGACCATTCTGGATTGGCTGGGGAGCATTTTCTTTCCTTATTTGGGATTAAGGAAGAAATTTTGAAATTGATTAGACTGAACAGCCTCGTCCTAACTGAATGGCTTTGGTTTGTTTCTGGGATAGTCAAGCATTGGTAAGAGAAATGTAGTTAATGTAAAAACCTGAGAGACCACTTAAAAATGATTAGATCTACTCATTGTATTGTAGACAGAATATCAACATGCGAAGAAAAAAAACAAAACCTCTCAAACTGTGCTATGGAGTTGATTCCAACTCGCAGAAATCCTATAGGACAGAGTAAAACTGCCCTTGTGCCCTGTTAATTTTGAACTGCTGACCTTGTAGCTAGCAGCCCAACAAGTAACCCGCTACCGTCACCAAGACTCCACATCAAGATGCTAAAACCATGTATTTCCTACTATCGGAGTAGGAGTTTAGAATGTCAGATGAAAATAAAAATCTACTTTAAAGAAGCAATTTCTATACCCAGGACCACCTGAATAAATTCAAAGACGAATAAGAATATCCATTTATTAACAGTTGTAAGGGCATCTAAATCAAAGCAGAGTTGAAATTTTTTACATGGGACAAAGAGAGCATAAAATCCAACAAGTGCAGGGTTTACAAAGTGAAGCTGAAGGAGGAGGCGAGGGCTGTGAAAGCGTTTTATGCATCTCCAATACTGTTCCTCTAGAGCGAATTGTACCCGTTGCAAGGGAAGAAAAAGCCCCTCGGTTGACCATATGATAAATAAGACTTTATTATCTGATTTTTTTAAAGCATACAAATTCACTGGAGAGATTATTCAAAAGTGATGATAGAGCAATGGGGCAATGCTTTGAAATGACAAAATACTTTAGATTTCATGGAGAAGACATAGTAAAAAGTCACATCAATAAAATATTGTGATCATCATATTGCCTGTGATGGAAAAAAATTAAGAACCTATTTTAGAAAGTGAAAAAAAATCTAGTTTGACTACTTTGAAAAGAGTTGTACGTTGACATAAACGCAAAGGAGAAAGTGGGGAAATACTTGCTGCTACGGATTAGCGGTCCCGATAGAAGTGTCTCATGCTGTTGTGTGTTGGGTTGGATCGTCGACTCAATGGCACCTAGCAACAGTATCAAAGAACTGCATCTACAGTTACAAGAAAAAACACCATCCTATTGCTATAAAGAAAAACATATGGTCTAAGTTGGAGGTCAGAATTCAGAACGCATCAATGGGTGGCAGAACAATGCTTTTTTTACGCTATTTCTGTGGGTTTGCTGTGTTCTGTAGGAACTTATTTTGGCTTCATCATCAGAACAAAGCACTTTATCACAAACCAGTAAACTTTTGATTGTGTTTGCTTTGAAGGTAAATGCTGGTAATATTACTGTTCATGGGTGGGTAAAAAATAAAGTCGGGATTTTTCTGGGTAAAAACAGAGTATTTCTCTTGATCATGTATTAAATAGGTGGAAAATACCTTTCATATTTTCTATTACACATAGATTTAAAAACACTGAATTAGACTCACTCACTCTCTCACTCTCTAACTCACTCACTCTCTCCCACACTCACTCACTGACTCACCCTCTCACTCACTTTCTCACTCACTCACTCTCTCACACTTATTCTCTCACACTCACTCACTCTCTCACACACACTCACTCACTGACTCACTCACTCTCTCATACTCTCACTCACTCACTGACTCACTCTCTAATTCACTCACTCTCAATCACTAAAAAATAAAATAAAAAGAATGAAAAAATCAAAAAAAAAAACACTGAATTAAAGATCACAATAGCAGTCAGTGTGTTTGGAAGCTGGATATGATTTATCCAGCTTTTAGCTTAGCCTCTTCCGTGAATTTAAAAAAAAAAGTGACATATACCTGTACATGTGTATATGCCTAACACAGTATTAACAGAAGTCATTCCTAGCATGTGAAATCAATGATAAATTATTTTCTTTGAATTTCGTATGCTCCTTGCAATTGATAATATTCATAACCCGGCAAGCAACCAGTTAATTTTTCAATGCACAGAAAACTGTGCAAGAAATGGGGCTGCAATGCTTTATCATATAGTTTCTACCCAAGTGTTTTCCCAGTCTAAAATTTCTATTAAAAGACTACTAGTGTATGAAGTTAAATCTCTTTCCACACAATAATTTTAGCGACACCTCTAAGAAAGGGATTTTAAGCTTAATCACTGGTATCCACGTAACAGCAACCAGCTGCTTGTATGATTGCCAAGAGTTGTCCACTGCAAATATTAAAAGGGCAGGCAAGATGTGCGTGAGGCTGGAGGTAGGCTAGGTATATAGCTGGAACAGTTAGCTACAGCTCGTTAATCAACACGTACGAAGCAAGAAGTTTAAACATAACAGAAAGTAGGAATCTTTTCAATGAGGGAGAGAAAACAGTGAGACATACCATCCTGGTATGTCAGGCTTTGTGAAAGAGTAAATACATCAGTGCTATGAAAAGAGTAAAGGAAAATTGATTAAAAAAAAAAAAAAAGAAAAGAGTAAAGGAACCATGCCATCGTCAACTACCCCAAAAGGTCACTATTAAAAAAGATGGGAAAATGTGATTTCATTAACATTAACTAGATAGCCCTGCTCTTGTAAAATGTTAGCAGACTAACAAGGAGTTCGTGGCACAGTGGCTATGCACTGGGCTGCTAATCAAAGACCAAGCAGTTAGAAACTACCTGCCGCCCCTCAGCTTCAGTTAGTCTAGAAAATTCACAGGGGCACTTCGACTCTATCCCATGAGCCACCCGGAGTCAGAATCGACTTGATTGCAGTGAGTTTGAGGGGGAAAAAAGTCAATGCAAGCAAATGCCAATTAACTTTTATTTATTATAGAAATTATGTAACTTCTGAAAAACAGAAATCTAAATAGGTATCACATGAGCAAAGGACATGAACATTTGATCAAAGAAGAAACACAACCACTCAAGATACACAAATATTCTACCTCTTAATAGTCAAGGAAATGATTCGGATTATTTGTTGTTTATTCAATACACAAAGTTTGAGGCAATTTCTACTTTCTAGTTTCTCACTCTACTAATATGTACTATTTTTAGGAATAAAAAACTGTTTTTAAAAAAAGACAGTATGAGAATTTCTGCCAATGAAGACATCTTAAAAAGCATTAAAATGAATCAACACTTGAATGAGCATAAAGTTCAGATCCCTGGAAGCCAATTTCTTTTTCCTTGGTTCCTGAGTTTTAGTATGGGATTGTCACTCTGACAATCTCTCATGGATAGGGATATACACCCTTCTATGTGTATGTATGTATGTATATACATGCATGCATATAGGATGTAAGTATATTGAGAGATGTGTATCTCATCCTATACACTATTCCAGGAAATGACTTCCCTCACTCAGACGCCTTCTTCCTATTCTTCCATCCGTTAGTGCAATCCCATTAAGAGTCTCCCTCCCCCTGTGTTCTCAGCCAGTAAGCAAGGAAGCCTCTTGGCACTGAAGAGGCTTGAGCTGTTTCAGTGCTGCTTACAAGGTAAAATCCCAGCTTTTCTGTGGCTGGCTTCTTCGGGAATCTCAAGTTGGCCCTGTCCTTCAGACATAACTGAAAGGACATTTTTCTGATCTGTGGCAGAATTCTCTCCTGACAGCTCAGATACAGCTTTGAGGCAGGCCACAGACAGCTTTCAGGATGCTAGCAGACTGGAGCAGCACCAGGGCAATCAGTCCCACTCACAAAATCATCTCATAAGTCAGGGTCCAAAATTGAGAGACTGACCTTAAGATTCTTGAACTTTGTTCTGCATTATTTCTTTCCTTTTTTCGTATCATGGAATTACTGAACAAATGGGTGGAACAGAGGGAAATCTAAATTGAATACAAACAAGTCTTTGAAGGCAAACTTTGCTAAATAACCTGACAAAAGTGACTACATAAAACAGATAATATACAAATATACGTCAACAGCAAAGTGACTCTACATGAAACAGGTAATATACAAACTACTTCAACAGCAAAGCACAAAAGTGTCATGTGATGGAGCAAGTTAGCAAAATGACAGATTTGTTCACTAATTTAATGCCTTGTAGTTCTTACCAATCTAAATTCAGTGTGACTATGTAAGTAGCTATCCTCTGGTACTCAATTGCCCTTTGAACAAAACCAGCTGATTTGTGGGGAGTTTTTCAATGTGACCTTTCACATATAGTGATAGACAAGTGGATTTTAAAATTGTGTGTGTGTATGTGTGTTCACGAGAGTTCAAACCCTGAGGGTTTTACTAATTTTTCAAGTTAATATTTTGAATGCGCAATTTCTCAGATCTTCCTAAGAAATGCCACATAGCTGAATCCACAATCTGGTACAATGACAAGTATGTTAAAAAACTCTACTAAAGAGGGAGGGAGGTAGCTAGTAACACTTGGCAACCTTTGGTGTGAGATTACACCAGGCTGTCTCCCTTTGATGTTCTGTAGTCAAGGATGAAAACTTTCACCTTTCAAGCATAATGAACATAATTCTTACTACAATCACACTTCTGATCTGACTTATACAACACCACAAAAGGACACCTAATTTAAACATTGTCTACACATCTTTTTTCATGGGTTAGAACAGCTGGCTATGTGGAATACATTTTCAGAATGCAACCATTTGATAAACATTCTAAGCCATACAACACAAATGACCTGCTACCTTTTCATCTAGTAATGCTACCAGTCCTTGTAAGAGACAACTGACGGGAAACTATTCGATCATCCATGATGCATTGCAAAGGCATTATGCCCCCGTCCTAAGAATGATCTGAAGGTGCTGAAAGAGGAGATTCTCTAGAAGGCGACCCAGGGTTTTCTTCAGGGGGGAAAACTGTAAGGGTACAAGCTCGAATGCCACCAAGTGACTCTGGAAGGTCAAACACTTTGTGCCACTCATCTTTCTCCGGGTCATATTTCTGGACAATCTCTACCATACAACGGTTATTCCACGAATACCCACCGACCACATAGATTTTATTCTCAAAGACGGCAACTCCAACATCACTCTGCCCTCTTAACATCGCAGCTATTGGAGTCCACTGGTCAAGGGTCGGTGAATAATATTCACAGCTGAGAACATCATCATAGTCACTTGTTCCCCTGAAGTGATTGCCCCCGATCACATACAGTTTGTCTCCAACTGTGCACATGCAATGCAGGCCTCTGACTGTAGTCATTGGAGCTTTTTGTGTCCATTTGTCTGTATCCGGGTCAAAGCACATGAGCTCATTTTGGAAAGTGTCATGGGTAATTCCTCCAGAAATATACATCAGGCCTCCATACACTGTTCCTGCATGGCCATAGTGAGGTTCACTCATTTTTGCAACATAGCTCCACTCATTCATTCTTGGGTTGTAGCATTCTACCGTAGCCAGTTCACCAGCTGCACTGCGCCCACCGACGGCATACAAATGTCCTTTGAGGGCACTCAAGTGGAAGAAGGTGCGCTTTTCATTCAACGAGGCGACCTGCATCCACTTATTATATCGTGGATCAAATCTAAAAACAGTATCAACGGCAGTTTTTCCTTTTGTATCGTAATTACTTTGGCCACCGACGACATAGAGAAAGTTTCCAATGACAGCAATGCCGTGCTGGTAACGAGGAGCATCCATGGGGGCTAAGGATTTCCATTCCTGTGCCCTCTCATCATACATTCTTAATTCCTTACTGACAACCAGCTGCTGCCTCAAAACCCCTCCTAATGTCACCAAGTGAGTGGAGTCGGATCGAATGGCAGTTCTGTCTGACTGCATCACTGGCTGCATGTACGGCATCATCTGGTAATTGCTAGCCTCCAAAAGCAAATTCACACAGGTGTTGTCTGTTCTCATGAAATCCACCGTCTGCACATAATTGATGAGGTCCTGTGGTGTCATCAGTGGAAAGCGAATGTTCTTCATTAATTTTGCAGCATAATCCATGCGAGGGTCTTCCAGCCTTAGCCAGCGGCAGGCAGCCTTGAACAGTTCAAGTTCAGAACAGTGCTTAAGACTATTACTAGAAAGCACAAAAGCAAGGCGTTCGAAAGGGAGTTTTTGGAACTCCCCAGTACTCAGCAACGCTGGAAAATTCTTCAGGATGAAATTATTGACGTACTTGTCTACTTCTATGAGATTGTAGGTGTTTGCAATCCGTCCAACCTCAACACAGTTATCCAAAGAGACGCCCGATATAAGAAACACTTTACAGAAGTCCAGAACAGGTAAGATCTGGAGGAAGCTGGCAGCCTCCAGTGTGTCTTGAAGATTGTCCATATTAAGAGAAAGTTTTGCAGTATAAATAAAGTCAATGATTTTCTTCAGACCCACCTTGTTCACGCCATGAAGCTTAATGCACATTAAATCCTTCTCTTTCATTCCACCGGTGAACATAGCTTTGAAATAATCACTCGCAGACGCCATCATGGCTCTGTGAACGGGGAAGATTTCGTCGCCATCACCCGGCACCAAGGTCACGTCGCAAAGCAACCCTTCTATCCTAAGCTGATCAAAGCCTTGCAATACCACCGTGCTGTGGGTATTGCTGGTGAAAAAGCGCGTAGTTCCGGTCTTGCAAGGCTGCAAATGGGCAGAGACGCCCATTTCGCCGTTACCCAGCGACACTTTCATGTGCAAAGCTTCCTCTGGCACCGAGAGGAGTACGCTGGAAGAAAGACGTTACTACACGGAAGGCTTTAAAGGAACGGAGGGCATCCGAAGAGCAGGTGGGCTTACAGTCCTTGAACGAGGGCGAGCAGTCCCCGGGGCGCCCCTCAGGGCACACCAGTCAGTCATCCACTGAAAACGTCCCAAGGACCACAAAGGGCTAAGGACTTCAAATCTAATTGTTATGCAGATGAGTCATCCCCCAAAGGCAGTTAGGAGACCTGGTTCACCTCGTCCGGCCTGCGAGGCCGCGCCTTCGACAGTTCGCTCCGGGCCAAGGGGAGGTGTCGCCACGTCCACGGCTCTGCAGCGACGCCCGACTCCTCCGCGAGCGGCCCGCGGCGCCCTCGGCTGTCCCCAGCGCGTCGCCGCGATCACCGGCCTCCCTGCAAACCGGGCCTGGAACCCGAGCTGCGCCTGGAATGCGGGCCTAGAGCTGGACGCCGAGCCCGTCCTTCCGGAACGGCCGCGTCCCAGCATCCCCCGGGCTAGGAGCGGCCGCCGCGGCTACTGCGGCTGCGCGCCGGCCGGTCCTCCTCGCTGGGCGGGGGGAGCGGAGAGGAGAGGAAGTGCCTGCCGCGGCGGGAGCGGCGGGGCTGAGGTCAGGGGCCCGAGAGGGTGCACGTGTATTATGCAGCCCTTGGTGTTTGCGGTGTCCGAGCTCGCCGGCTAAGTGCACGCTTTTCTCTTTAAGGTTTACACATCGCGGCCTCTGAATTACCACGAAACGGGCTGGGGTTTAAATGGAAAGGAAGCCTGGCCGAGGAGGGGGATGGTGAGAGGAAGTTACATTTTTTCCCCCCTCTACAACACTTTAAAATGAGAGGAAGTTACATTCCGCCCCCCCCCCCTACAACACTTTAAAATGCGTGCTGCCCACAATGTAACGGACGCCTCGATTTTAATCCGGTTTTCAATTTTACATCATTTAAAACACACCACGAAACTGGGCTCATTCTATGTAAAAAATACACCCTATTATAGGCAACCCTGTGGGTTGCGACCCCTTTGGGGGTCGAACGACCCTTCACAGGGGTCACCTGATTCATAACAGTAGCAAAATGACAGTGATGAAGTAGCAACGAGAATAATTTTATGGTTGGGGGTCACCACAACATGAGGCACTGTATGAAAGGGTCACGGCATTAGGAAGGTTGAGAACCACTGCTACAGGGGTTGCAGTAATTCAAGATCCACTCTATGGCAGTGAATTAAAAAAAAATTCTTCTGAAGTTTTGTATTGGTGTGTATTGGCCTATAGAGCAAGTCTCCATCGGACCAGATAACTGCACTATTTATTAATAAACGGTTGCCATCTTGAGCACTCCCAGGGGCAGGGCTACCTTGCCCTATAGGGCTACTATGAGTAGGCATTGGTTCATAGTGGCAGTGTTTTCTTTTTTAATACATCATCTGATTTTTTAAAATTAGAGGTTCAAATAGTTAAACATTAACTAGCTGAAAGTTAGTGGTTCAAATCTAACCAGAAGCAATCTGCTTCTTAGCCCTACATTAGTGCAAGTGACGTATGGCTTTACTACTTCGAAAACCAGCCGCCCCATGGGTGAAAGATAAGCCTTTCTACTCCTGTAAGCAAGTATAGTCTCAGAAAGCATAGGGGAGGTTCTAGCCTGTCCTATAGGGCCACTGTGAGTTTGATTTTGGTTTATTGCAACAAAGGAGTCCTAATGGTGACACAGGTTAAGCATTAGGCTGCAAAGCACAAGTCTGGTTGAAACTGACCACTTGCTCCTTGGCAGGGATGGGGAGGGAGAATGGAATGGGAGATGGGGATGAGACTGTCTGCTCCCTTAAAGATTTACAGGCTCTACTCTGCCCTGCGGCCACTATGACTCAGAATTGACTCTGTGATAGTGGGTTTGGTTTAACAGCTGTATCCTCCTTGGGTGAATAGTAACTGGGTTATTAAAAATGTGTGAGGGGCCATTGTGTTAGACGGGGTTGAGTAGAGGAACAAATTCATTGACATTTATGTGTAAGAGAGAACTTTATATCAAGAACTAATTATGTGTCAATAAAACATCCCAGCCCAGTGCAGATCAAGGCCATAAGACCGATTTTAGCTCATGAATTCCTCTTCAGACTCACACAGCACATGCAATGATGCTGAATGCAGGAAGAACACAGGCAGGTGGGTAGAAAGTCCCAGGGACCCAATGGCAGTGGATGAATCTTCATGGCTCTGGCTGCCATCAGCATAGCTCCGTGAGACTTGTCAACAGGAATGTGAAGCAGAGAGAGAGTGTGGCCCACCTCTTCTGATGGCAGAATCGAGGGAAGTTGCCAGAATCCTCATGAGAAAGCCACACCCACAAGGAGGGATCATCAGGTTAGCCTCCACCCCTTCATTTTATCAAGTTGACATGAAATTGTACAACTACCACAGCCATCCATGGTACAACTATTGGTCTCTCCTTGTCCAAAAGAAAGAAGAGTGATGGACATTAAGGACATATAGAAATAATTAGTCCAGTGTACTAATGAGCAATGTGAACATCCAAAGTATAACCCTGAACCCTGAGGAACTAGCTGATACCTGGTTACCACTACTAAATGCTCTGAAAGAGATCAGATTTGAAAGTTCAGGATAGAAAGGGGGAGAAGTATGGTACAAAATGAAAATTCCCCCTTGCAGAGGGGTCTCGGGGAGGAGATGAGCCAGTCAGGGTGCAATGTAACAATGATGAGAAATACAATCTTCCTCTAGTTCCTAAAGGTTTCCTCCCCGCTCCCACTACCATGACTCGAATTCTATCTTGCAAGACTGGCTAGACCAGAGGAG